AGAGAATATCGAATGTCGGGTAAACTTTAACCCTGAAAAAGTTTACTCATAGTCAGTGGTCCTAACGAAGGACCCTGTCTCTATCGCCTATCCATGCATGTAGCAAACAGGAACTTGCAAATGAACCAAGCATATGAGTTCCTTAGAACTCACATGGTGGGTGATCGTCAGCCTGGGCGATCGGAAACTCTCTGGTTCGAATCCTCAAAGAAACTCTGACTTCATTTTGGTCCCCCACTTTAGCCACTCTTTCTTTACTTAGTGAAGAAGTTGTCAACTGAGTATTAAAGTACTTTTGCTTTCCTTACTTTTCAGTTGCAACCAGTACTCTGGCTGTAGGAGTAAGTTTAGTTTTTTAAGTCTTTTTTCATCCATTTCTCCATAAAAATTCAACATCTACAACATTTGATGGGGAAGATCCTCAAACGCAACTTGTCTTTATTTGGCCACTAAAGAGCAATACTTGTAAAAGATTAATTTGAACAAGTGTTTCATTGTCAGGTAAACCTTCCAGCTCATCTGGTCATCATCAAGTCGACATCACACTACGTCATGGGTGTGTTTCAAGAGTACTCAGAAACACAAATACTTCAGATGATTGGAAGAGCGGGAAGGCCTCAGGTACGTTCACTGATACTGAACATAGCGAGACTATATCATTTTTGGGACAATCCTACACATTCGTGGAAAAGGGTTGATTCCACCGATGATGTTTTGTTGGTTTGATTATTGCAAGGGTTTAATCATCTATCCGGTTAGGAAATATTTACATCTGACAAACCAGTCTCGCTGAATACAAATTTTCTCTCTTAGTTTGATTCATCCGCCACTGCGGTCATTTTGACAACAATTGCAAACAAGGTATGTTATACTGCGAAAGTTTTTTACGTTTCTTTCTTCTTGGGAATTTTGATTTAACTTATGAATCCAAAAAGGTTGTTTCCTTATTTTAAAGCTGTGAAGATTTCACGAATACCGAAAGAAAAAGACTCTCGATACTCCACGATTTATGATTGTCCTGTGAACATTTAAGCTATCTCCATACGGGCCGAGAATGGACATCTCATTTAACATATTTTTAAGAGAGGAAAAATTTTATCTTCATTTGGCTGTTATTATAACTTTTTACTTACGTAAGATTGTGTGAGTTTACCTAAGTGAAAGAAACTGCAGTTTATCTTTGCTTTTATCACTAGTATTTTTCCAACCTGTAAGGTTTTGAAATCTATATTTCTTTGTTGTGAGTCATTTGTAAAGGCAACAGGCTCACATAACGAGGATGAAACATGGTTTGTTTCCAGGGGTTTTTTACCTAATTTTTGTCGCCGTCGCTCCTTTAGCAGAGAGAAGTGCAGGCTACCAGCTGGGTTTCAGAGACAACTGTCGCGAACACAATTTACTCGGGATGAAAAAGAACAAAACAACTGTACTTGATATTTGTAATCATTTAAATAATTACCCATTTTCTTTTATATTCACAAATTAACCTACGTGAAAGCATTACGATTGACAGAGAGTGCATACGACTTCCAAATTAAAAAATGTCTTCAGCAATGCTCTTTACAGAGTTTAAAATGCAGGAAACAGTCTTGGAGGAAAATGCTGGCACCTCGTGTCATGTAATTCACCTGTTGGCTAAGAACATTGACAAGAACAGGTCGTTAAAAAATGTCTTGAAAATAGTTCCTCTTATGGTTGTAGACTCTATTTATAAAACCAAAACTATCACTACCTTAACAATTCCAAGGAATTTTCGACTGCTTCCTCCTTATGAGCAAGGTACAGTGTATCACCCGACGTGCTTGGGGCACTGAGTTGTGCTCTGTTAATAACTAGAGCCTGAGCTGCATAAAGTTTTTGCTCAGCTTAAACCAGAAGAGAGCTTAGCTCGTTGCAGTTGCGGTGAATTTTTT